AAAATTTTCCCCAAAAGAATAACAATTTAAAAATTAAAAAAAAAAAAAAAAAAAAAAGTGGAAGTGAAAGACAAAAGAAGTACCGTTATTGGGTGCTTAGCTGATCCTGGGACTTAGTCAGAGCAGTCTCATTCGTATTCCATATCTTTGTTATGTGCTGCCGTCTTTTCTGAAAATTCCGTTTCTCTCTCTCTCTCAGCTTTCGCATAATCAAGGTAAATTTTATCTCATTCTCTCTAATTCGCTTCGTTAACATGTAGGGTTTTTTAATTCCTTCGATTTTCGTTCCCCTTTTTTTTTATCAGATTCTCTTGTTTGGTTTTCACTTTTCAGCAGTACTACCCCTATAATAGGGCTGATCGATTCTCTTCTTTGGCTTTTACTACGCAGTCTATTGTTAGTTTCATTCGACTATTATATATGTGTGTATATAGATATGGAAAAAAAAGAAAATAAAAATATGGGTTTGATTGATTATTTAGAATTTTGAAGAAATCGATGAAAAAAACAACTAACTCGATTCTGTTTCATAAGGATTTTGGATCGTATTAATGACTAGAATTTTGTCAATTACTGTTGTTGACTCGTCTTATATGGGTCCACTTCTATGATATGCAGGATCAAGTAACAACTGTTGGGTTTTCCATTGCGTTTGATTTTGCTGTTAGCTTCAGCTTCAATGCCTTCTATCATGTCACCTCAGTGGCAAGACAAGGCTGCTGGTTTCTTTTCTTCCTCTGGTATATATCTTTCACTTAATCTGTGCACCTTTCTCTTTCTTTCTTTACTTTCTGGTCTCTTTTTGTTCAAAGATGAGTTTCATTTCATGTAGGGGTCAAGATTAAAGAAGCTAAGGAATCAGCAGGGACGTTTGTTGGCGAGGTCACTAAGGATACAAAGAGTAACGTGGCTGAAGTGGCAGGGCGAGTTGGGTCGATGGTCAAGAGTCGGTGGGCGCTTCTTCAGCAGCCTTCCACAAGACATGCTGTGCAGGATCGGTTGATATCGGCGGCTGCTACTACTGGTACACTCCTAAGGAGGGGCTTCTCCGGGACAAAGGATAAGGTGGTTGTGGGAAAGTCCAAGGTTGAAGAGGTAACGTTGTTGAGTAAATGATTTGGGATTGCGATGGATAACTTTTTAGAAAGGCATGAATGCATATGACTTGGTTTCATTGTTTTCTGTTTTTGTTTACAAAATTTTGAAAACGTCAAACATAATGAACATAGTGTGGCATTTTTGTAAATGTTGGCGAAAATATATGAAGTATGAACTAAAACTGAAAGCGAAAATAAAAAACAAGCACTGTCTTATCATTATTGGTATTTTATTTTATTATTACCGGTAATCCTTTCCTTTGGGTAAAGGGAAGGCCTTATCAAGGTGATTTTGGATTATGTAGTTCTGTCAGTTTGATGTTGGAATACTTGTGGTTTGGTTGTAGAGTGTTTAAAGCTGTTATTCAGAACTTGGTATAATCAAATGGGTCTTTGAATTCTTTTTCTCTCTTCTATCCTTTCCTTCTCTCTATACCTTATCTGCTAGTCACTTGCATATCATTCACAATGCATTTTCTCTGCACCAATTTGATGCTCATATTCTTTACATTTAGCATCATGTTCATTTATTTCAGGTGGCAAAAATAACAGCACAAAAAAGTAAGACTATCTTAACAGATATTGAAAGATGGCAAAAGGTAAATGTCATTCAGCTAACTTTGACCTATTTTTACCTTATTCATCATTTTCAAACATTCTTACTATAATTTTCTTTCGCAGGGAGTTGCAAGCACTGATGGTAAGTTTCTCAAACTGCATGACTGAGAGAGAGCAATTGTTTTCATGCATCACAGTCTTTTGTTGGCTATGTAGAATTAGTTCCATTGTTCCCACAGGCATTTTGATACTTCAACAGTAACATTTTTGATTATTAGTTGATTATCAAGTTATATAGCAGTATAGCATTCTTTGTTTTTCTGTAAGGTTTTACTTTATAATTAAAATTTGTTGCCTGCCTAGTGCCTGCATAATGATACTTGATTATTCACTTATCTTGACCCCAGCATTTGGAGTTCCTATTGAGGTTACTGTGCAGAGGCAAGATTGCTGCAGACCTATTCCTCAGATATTGGTCAATTGTGCAGATTATCTTATAGTTTCAGGTAGCTGCTTCTAGAGTAAGCTTCCACATCCATGCATCAATCTATGTTTTTCCTTTTTGATGCTTTATTTTGATCCAATAGTTTTTTTAAAAGCATTTCGATCCAATAGTAATTTCATTAATGTTATTTTAAGCAGGATTGAACTCGCCAGATCTTTTTAAATCTGAAGGGGATAAAAAGGTTATTCACCAGTTGGTTTCCCTATACAACCAAGGTAATTCAATCATTCTATCAGTAATGGGTATGTTTTCTTTATTATATTGGGATGATGTTATACTTGCTACTATGATTGCGTGTTCAGATCCAACTGCTTCAGTGCCAGATGGCACAAATCCTGTTGATGTAGCAGCTCTTGTGAAATATTATCTTGCTAGCCTTCCTGAGCCACTTACTTCATTGGAGCTTTATAACGAGATTAGAGGTGCTCGTTCCAGCATATATTCCATGAGAAACATACTCAAGAGGCTTTCCACCGTAAACTACATGACTCTGGAGTTTATAACAGCACTTCTACTCCGTGTTAGCCAGAAGTCACTTCTCAACAAGGTAGGAGACTTCTCTATGTAAGCATGTGTGTGTTTATTTAGTCAAAGCCGGGGTGGGTGGGAGATTGGGTTTCATATGCATGGTGAGCACTTACATTTGTTTATTGAATAATGAACTATGTATGGTTGAATCTCCTGGCAGATTTCCTTTCCCTTTGTTTATGATATAAATTTTCTCTCCTATAAATAATCTCCACACACTTAATATACCTGCTTTGCTATGCAAATAACTTTCAAAACAAATATGGAAAAGGAATTGAATCTATGCATTCTATTTGTTGTTTTGTTATCATCCTTATCATTTGAAGTTGTTAATTTCCTTTATGCTATTTTATTTGTGTCCATATTATTAAACCTTGTATTTAACTAAAAGGCATTGCTTTTGACAGCTGAGGTCTTTTAAACTCTTCAGCTCGTTTTGTGTTTTTTTTCTTCCTTAGCTGTCTCTGACTCATTTTTATTTTCTAAAATGTGTTTAGACACCAACTTACCTTCATATTCTTATTCTTGATTTTGTTAAGTTTGGTTTTTTATTTTGTTGTTTGATCAATATATTATTGACATGGTAAATGGAACACACTATTGTCCAATATATTTATATTGGAATTTGGAACAATAAATTTTATTAATCATAATGGAACAAGAGTAATCATCAGGGTAAACTATCCTTGTAAAAAATAAAAATAAAAAAAGAAGAAAAAAATATAGGATATGAAAAAGAATAATTAGCAAAATTCTCCTACTAATGTTTTTCTTCTGCTAATATCACTATTTTCCTAGATGCATAACTTTCTTGCTTTGTTATAGTTAGCAGATTTCCTCAGTCCATGCAATATGATCATTGTTATGCTTTACTATTTTTGGTTTCCCGTCAGTTGGGTGACTTTTAACGCAGTCACATAGTCATTATTTGTTTCTACATACAAATTGGTTTTAGTAGCATGATCAAGTTTGTTGATTTTCTCCAGATGGATGCACGGAGCCTTGCAATGGAAATGGCACCTGTTATTATGTGGCAAAATGAACGGAAACCTGAGTTTTATCGTCAATACTGGAATCAGATGTCGAAAAATCCTTCCAAAAAGAGTGTGGATCCACCACCTGGTTCAGATACTGCCTGGGACATGCTTGCAGGTAGGGAAAATGATGCTAAAATAAGTAAATTTTTTAGGATAACCATCTTGACTTAAAATATTATTTATTATTGGCCATGGCCAAAAGCTTGATGACCATGTGGGACATTACGTGAAAATCATATTCTAGTATTAGGCAATGAGGATTTTCTAATTCAAAATTTTCTATACACAACAATCTTGACTAAGCATAAACCTTTATATTAGTCATGTGAGTTAATCATGAGAGATAACTAACTAAATAGGAGCAGAGGAAGACCGTGGAAAACCCTAAGGGAGCCTTTGGTATGCAGTCTTCTTTTGGTCCTTTGAATTATATTCCTAGGATTATTGATTCTTAAGAATCACGAGCTTTTAGAATGTTGTTAATATGTTTGGTATACCAGAATGTTCTTCAATGTTTCATTGTTTCATGGGCATGCCCCATACTTTCTTACCTTCCTGACAATCTTGGATTCCCACTTCCTCCCATGGGAATTGTTTTGGAAAATATGGTTAAAAAATCATACATAGGCATATTAGGTTCCTGGAAATCTTTTTTAAAAATTCTAACTAGAGATAGGAACCTGAGATTGTTGAGTTAAGGTTCCGGGAAACTTAATCCCCCTACCAAACACCCCTTAAGAGAAGCCATTGAAAATTAAAGACCTTGATTTAAATTGAATGGCCTTGTCAAAACCTTGGTTTTTGGTTGTGCTTAGTGGCATTGTTTGATCCATGTTGGGAACTGTGGGAAAAGATTCTTGTTTCTGTAGTTGTAAGCATAATTTTTTTAATGTTCAGTGCTGAAACTTAATTGTAGAAATCAAAAGAGTTGCAGTGCCATACTTCTTAAATAATTAGACCTCAAAAGTGGGTTTCAAACTATCAATGATGTGTCTTACTCCTACCGAGTGACATTGAATTGTTCAGCATTTTTTTATAAGAATGATCATTTGACCTGAAAATGCGTCAAGAAAGTAGGCACTATTTTCTAATATTTTACAACAGTTTGGTTATAGATGCAAGTCAGTTACTTCTAATATTAACTGATTTTATCTTCATCTTCGGATTATCTTGCTATGGCATGAGGCTGAACATTTTAAAATTTGCTTGAAGATGTACTTTGAACTCACGAGTCACTCGTAGATTTCTTTTGTTTTTTGGAAGGGTGCCCAATTTAGTGTAAAAGTTTATTGTTTTACTTCTATTGACCTAAACTGGGTCCGTAGAAACTAATGCACATTACAGATTTATAGGATTAGTGCTGATTGGAGATCGCCGTTTCTTGTTTCTTGTGCTGCAGATGATGGGGAAGCCATAGATGCATCATCTCCTATTCCCTTGGATGATGGCACGCCAGTAGACTTTGGTGCAATTGAGGTTGTTCAGTTGCTCATAGAACATCATAATGCAATTTTCACAGATGCAAACGAGACAGTCTGGAAATGAATTGCTTTACTCCTCATCCTGTATTTATTGGTTGACTTGGATATATTGGACTTGGAATAATTTTTTTCCCCAATCCAGTCATGATGATCAATCAGCGGGCTATATTTGAAGTTATCCACAATCATCACGCTGCGGAAAGATGTTGGACACTGGGCAGTTTTAGTTTTAAGGGTATCTGATTTTCTAACTCATGCATTTAATGATCGTTTTACTTCATGGTGGTGGGGAGTAGTGTTATAAATAGCGAAAGTATTCAGCTAGTGTCTTGCTGAAATTCTCGTCACTGATAACGTTATTGTGGTCTTTCGCTTGATTGATGGAAGTGATCTTTGTTTATAATTTTTACGTAGAGTTATTCATATTCATCTATTTACATAAAGGTCAATTTGGTATACCTTACCTACTAGTAGAATGGATCATTTAAGTCACGTCGCTGATTGCAACAATGCTGTGAAAGGGGGTGGGTGTAGGCTTTGATTGGAGGAGCAAAGCAAGGAGATGCCACGGTTTTTTTTTTTTTTTTTTCAAACTTGGAGATTTATAATTTTATTTAGTCTTAGGAGTTGGGACCTTAGAATTCATGGTGTACTTACGGTGCAGACACAAGTTTTCAATTTTACTATTTTTTTGGGGGGTGAGGACAGCTAAAGACTTGTAGGTATAGTCTTTGAGGAATACCTCAGCTTTTATTTGCTATTTGTTTCAAAGAGCTGTTTCTGGCTAATAAAATGAGTTATCTACATCTACAGAGTATATTAATAAATATAGGATATACACAAATGTGCAGGTATTAAGTTCTTCAGAAAATTAGATATTTGCATCGAGTTTTTCTTAATCAAAGTGACTCGATACAAGTTCGTACATTGGTAAATTGCAAACGCAAATTACAGCAATTTAGCATTAACTGTATAACAAAAGGATGGTACATGTAACATAAGAGCAAAATGATTACTGGGCATAGCAGTTAGCTGTCTGTCTAATAAAAAATAAACAGTTCTATACCTCTGATGAGGTTGGAATCTGCTCGAAATATTCAAAAATCTCACTTGAGAAGTCCTTAAATAAGCCATTTGAACTTGTACTTTGAGAATTTCCTTCAAATCCAAGAGTTGGCAACATGGTTTCAAGCTCCTGGCTGCATACACCTTCTGAACATTTTTTCTGCTCGAACTCATCAATAAAGTTTGGATCAAAGGGCTCGGGAACAAGGTCGTGGCACTCTGGGAATAGTGGATAGTCCATTAGTGGTTCAGGGAGTAGAGGGAAGTTGTACCCTGATGAAGACTCAAACGATGGTACTGTGTGAAGTGGGGTGGCGTCAACCTCAACCTCAACCGCACTAAGGGGATCACTTTCCAAGTATTGGTAGTTTGGCTTTATCAAATCTGGTAGGTTAATCATCTCGAACACCTCGTTGTTTCCCATATAGGAAGTAAGGTAGGAAAGGTTTTCCTCCACCTGATTGGAACTGCATGGAGGAACCTGAAAATAGATATATATTTTGATTTTTGACCACTATATTCATGAATTAATGATCTTTTATGTATCAAATCAAGTGTTTTATTAAATATATATTAAAACTTACTTCAATAAAATTGTTTAGTCATATCTAAGTTTTAAGATAGAACACAATTTATCACTTCCCCTTTCCTCCCCTATCTCCCGGATCACAGTAAAAAATTATAGACATTCTCACTGTCAGTGTATTGTAACAGTTGAATGAATATCATATGGTTCACATCTCAAATGTGCGTTTTAAATTTAATTTATAAAAATAAAATAAAATATAAAATATGAATTGTTCAATGATCACAAAACACTTACCGAGAGAACCCTTATAGATTCCTTAAACACTAGGAGGGTAATAAGAGCAAAAAAAATGCTGTGGTGTTTATGTTGTGCATGCTTTCTAGTAATGAGACACAATATCCTGAAGTAAATGATACTCCTCAACCTTACCTTTTCCACTTGCACTAGATTAAGAGGAAGTTTTCCCTTGTTTTTATGTGGCTTTAACGTTGGTGGCCTCTGCAACATCCTCTCCAACCTCTTTCTCCTACTGCTCCAGAAGTTTTTCACATCATTATCGGTTCTCCCATGCAAATACGTTGCAATTTTGGCCCATTTGTTCCCAAACTGTGCCTGTAATTCTATCACCAACCTTTCCTCCTCGGCTGTAAATTTGCACCCACTACACGTTACAAAATACAAACAATCAAATTCTGTACATTATTATGTGTACACACACCAATACTAGGAATACAAGAATAATAGTTAACAAAGTACCAAATTTATTAAATATTTTCGCATGCTCTTGCAATACAGCATCAACATAACACTAAACAATAAATACAAAAATGGAAGTGTTAGGCATAAAAAGGTGACACTGACACATGCAACTTACGTCTTCAAGTTTGGTCTAAGTTTGTTAACCCATCTAAGGCGACAAGATTTTCCTGTTCGAGGCAACAAGCCTTTGGATCGAATGGAGCTCCATTCCCTAGGACCATATTTTGTGACATGTCTCAACAACACCTCATCTTCCTCACTACTCCATGGTCCCTTCTTTATGTACCCTCTATCAAACTCTTTTTCCATTTCAACGTTTGTTTCTATATTTTCTCGGATCAAATAAAAGGCACCAGAGAAAGTGTTTGAAATGGATGGTTTTACTCCTGTGTGATTAGATTCACGGGTAAGTGCATGCACTTGCGCACGCGAGGGTCGTTAGTCGTTACTATGCTGTGTTTTTCTGATGTTGTGGCGTGGCAGTGTAGGTGCTTGATCTGTATTTTGATCACCGTGGATGCAAATGTAGAGGATTATTGCTCCCACTCTGCACTTGTGACGGTTTTGACGGTTAGTGGGGGAACATGCACACGTGTTTGCTCCCGTCCCGTTATAAATTGGAGGGTTTCCGTTGCTTCACCGTGACGTGGAATTTTTTGGTTTAAAATAATTTTTCAATTTTAAAATATTTTACAAAATGTAGAAAGACCGTTATATCTTTTTCTTTTGTAAAAATACCATTATATCTATACAATTAATTTATATTTTAAATGAGTGACATTTTTATAATATTTTTCTATATTTATACTATTAATATTATTAATAAAGACCATATATACCATTTTATAACAGTTTTTCGTTTTCAGAATCATTTTCATACGGGTATTTTTGCTCTTGTTTATATTTTGTAATTTATCGTTATTTATTTTATTCTAAAACTGCTAATGAATAATTGTTTTATTATTTTTTTTCCTTTTTATTCATACAGGCAACAAGTGTATTCTTCCTATTAGTAAAACTAGTGGAAATGCCTTTATATGTTTTTAAAATAAAATTAATGTTCTTGGTGGTTACTTGAATAAAGAGAGCTTTGGGGTATCAAGTATATGTTAAAATAAATAAAAGGAAAACAAAAAGACAGTGAGAGAGATTCAATAACAACAAAATGATTAATTTTTTTATTATTTACAATATAGTGAGAGAAGTAGATGTATTGTGTATATTATTAACTAGCGTAAAAATGATACTCTATGTCTTCGTATACTTTTAAACAAATAAAAATATAGTAAAATAAAATTAATTAAAATTAAATAATAGTTAGCTATTTTTAGGTAATTATAAAGAGTAAATGAGATATAATATAAAAGTTATAAAAACAAAATAATTTAAAAATAGTGTATATTAAAAGGAGATATTCATTTTATTACTAGTATAAATGATATAAAATAAGTATTGATAAAAATATATTAGCCTATGTTTGCACAAAGTTCTTAATTTTCAAATTTCTCTTTTTTTGGGTAAATTTTCTAAAGGATATTTGTTTCCGTGTTAAAATATTTTGCAATATCAATACATACAAATTAATTAAAATCATTTACATATACTGTGGACATAAAAGTAATATATGTATATATATATATATATATATATATGTGTGTATATATATATATGAGGAGGGTTCAAATGATACCGGTGTAACTTTTATTAAGTATTACACTACTCAATAAATTTATATTAAATGTGAATTTTGAAAATTCAACCGTTAGATTGAAAGTTCATATCTCTTAGATCATATATATCAAATTTTATTAAAATTGAACAACAACTCAAAGGTAATCAAAATATTCATATTTTAGTATATTTTTAAATGTATATATTACGTCAATTTTATTTTAAGAGAATGAAGTATCAAATCATCTTAGATTAATATAAAATTTGATATATATGATCTAAGAGATATGAACTTTCAATTTGATATTAAACGAAGTAAGTCTACCAAGACTTACTCCTTGAGTAAGTGGATCTCTCTCTCTCTCTCTCTCTCTCTCTATATATATATATATATATATATATATATATATATATACTAATATATAAAGGGGATACCACATTCAATAACTATTTTTGATTTCCATTTTTACACGGATCATTTTATCTTTTGTTTATTTTTTCAAAATTACCTTTTTCATGAGTTGCTTCTCATTTTTATTTATTTATTATTATTTTTTTAATATAATGCAGGCACGGAGTGTCTTTTTCTTGCTAGTATATAATAAATTGGATATAAGAGCATGTAACCGGTTTTTGTCTCTACTTTTTAGTAGACCATTATATCCTCTGATGTAAAAAAAAATCTTATATCCTCTATCCTCTTTGAATAACTACACAACTTTTTAATATTGTGTCTAGGGATGACAAAAATACTCGCACCCGCGGATATCTGCAGGTAAAATCCGCTACGGATAATAAATGGATAGGCTAATTGGGTACCTACGGATAATGGGGATGAATAATTTTTTACCCGTTTATAAATGGGGCGGGTGCAGGTATGATGATATCTATACCCGCGGGTACGCGTTTAATAATATTTCTTAAATATCCTAATTATCCTTGTACCACATAACCCTTAAACTACACTTTCTCATCTTATTTTCTTACAAAAGTGAGGTTGATGAAGTTACCAATATGTGTTAAGCATGTTATAGAATTATGTTAGATGTAATTTGATTAATTTTCTAGCTTTGATTGGACCAATAAGATTTATGTATTTTAAGTTGTTTAATTTCGTTTAGAATTATGAGATTAAATTATTGTACCTCTGTCATGAGACTTTAACTTACTTGTGAGATTGATGTATTTTAAATTATTGATTATCTTGCATTTTTATTATTATTTCAACAAAATTAACGTTAAATACAAGTTCAAAATTAACACTGAATTTTTATTTTTAATATTTCAATGACAATAAATATAAACTTAAAATTATTTATAATATAATTTTTTTAATTTCTTAAAAAAATTATAAATATCCATGAATATCCATGGATATCCGAGGGTATTTAAGAAATTCATGGATACTCGCGCGGATATGGGGTGGATATGGGGCAAATTTTCATCTAGCGGGGCGGGGGCGGGGGCAGGTTTACTACTACCCGCCTTCATGGGGCCCATTGCCATCCCTAATTGTATCTGTGTATAACTATTAGAGGCACGAAGTGTCTCGACTCCGTATATAT